TTTGCGGGGACCTGCTCCAGCGGCACCAGGAAAGGAGCTCAGAGACGACAGCCTTGCAGTCACGCGAGGAACCACGTTTTCGGTTTGAAACTGCGTCTAGTTGTCGCCCGTCTCCACTTCCCGTGTTCTAGTGGTCTTGATCCTCAGCACCGAGCAGCTGAAAAAGAGGTATGTGGCCTTTGAGTTTAAAGACAACAAATCCATTATTGGCTCCCTCTGTTCCTCATTTACCCCCGCTTCCTCAGTTACCAAAAATATTTTCCCCACAGGACTGTCCTCGATCCTCCCTTGCTCACCGTCCTGTACGTGGTACTGTGTCACGGCCGTCTCTCCAGTTCTGACTGTACTGCCCATGTCCTCGGCCTGCAGGCTAGGTTCCAGCCCCACATTTCCAACGGTCTGCTGCGAACTTTCGGCCGGGCAGCTCCCTGGCATCTTGCATTCAGTAAAACGAGAAATGAATTCATCTTCCCATGCATAGATTTATAAACAGAAAACCAAATCACACCAGAAAAGGAATGCTTCATCAAATAAGGCATGTTAAGAATTTCGCTGTGTTTTGTTTTACACAATAATGGAAGACTAGAGAAGTATCTTTTTTTTTTTTTTTGGTTTTTGTAAATGTCAGTTTTGAGTACTATTTCTTTCCGGTATTTCCTCACTTCGTCTTGTTCTATGTGGACCATCCTAGTTGGTGCACAGAGCCACAGGGATGGAAAATCTGACTTTCAGACTGCTCTGTATATAAATTCTAACAACACAATCTTCTCAACCAAGTACCCAAGCTTTGCAGTTATTTACCTGTTTATCCACTGTAAGCCATGCCAAGTGCTCATTAGTCCTGTACACCATAAAGTGCTGTTTTGACACTTAAAAAAGTGTTTAAAGCATTTTAAAAAACTGTAAATGGGACTGTTTTCTTAAATTTTTTCTTGACACATAATTTCCACACATTAAAGTGTACCAATTAAAAATTTTTCAAAAAGATTTTTTCTTTATTGATTTTAGAGATAGGAAAGTAGAGAGATAGAAACATCGATGAGAAAGAACATCGACTGGCCGCCTCCTGCACACCCCCCACAGGGGATCGGGCCCACAACCTGGGCATGTGCCCTGACTGGGAATTGAACAGGTGACCTCTTGGTACATATGGGTCAATGCTCAGCCACTGAGCCACACCAGTTGGGCCAATTAAAATTTTTTTAAAAATTCCATTCACAGGTGACATATAAGTGAAACCCTATGGTATTTGTCTTTTGACTTATTTCACTTAATATAATACCCTATAGGTCCATCCATGTTGTCACAATTGGCAAGATTTCATTCTTTTTAATATCTGAGTAATAATCCATTGTACATTTGTACCACTTCTTTATCCACTTGTCTAGTGAAAACTTGCTTGCTTCCATATGTTGGCTATTATAAATAACACTGCAATGAACAACAGGAGTGCATGTATCTTTTCAAATTAGAGTTTTGGATTTCTTCAGATAAACATTGACAAATGGAATTGCTGAGTCATATGGTAGTTTTCTTTAAAAATTTTTGAGGAACCTCCATACTGTTTTCCACAGTGGCTGCACCACTTTACAATCCCACCAACAGTGCACAAGTGTTGCCGTTTTCCCACATCCTTGCCAACACTTGCTGCTGGTTGATTTATGATAGTCACTCTGATAGGTGTGAGGGGATTATCTCACTGCATTTTAATTTTTATTTCCCTGATGATTAGATATGTTGAACATCCTTTCATATGTCTGTTGTCCATCTGCATGTCGTCTTTGGAGAAATGTCTATTCAGGTCATCTGCCTATTTTTATTTGAATTTTGTGTGTGTGTTAATTTGTATGAATTCCTTATATAATTTAGAAATTACCCCCATTGAATGTGTTATTGGTGAACTATCTTCCTCCACTCAGTAGGCTGTCTTCGCCGTGTTGACGGTTTCCTTTGCCATGCAAAACCTGGTTAGTTTTACTTAGTCCCGTTTACTTTTCTTTTGTTTCCCTTGCCCAAGGAAACATATCCCAAAAAACATTGCTAAGAGTGATGTCAAAGAGTTCACTGCCTATTTTCTTCTATCAGGTTTATGGTTTCAGGTCTTACATTTAAATCTTTCATTCATTTTATTTTTTATACGGTCTAGTTACAGTTTTTTGTTTTGCATATATCTCTTCATTTCCCCAACACCATTTATTGAAGAGACTATCTTTACCCCATTTTATATTCTTGCCTCCTGTATTACAGATTAATTGACAATGTATATACGGGTTTACTTCTGGGATCTCTATTCTGTTACATTATCTACGTGTCTGTATTTATGCTGTTTGGAATACTATAGCCTTGTAGTATAGTTTGATATAAATATACTTAACAACATTGTTCTTTCCCAAGATGGCTTTGATGATGTGGGGTATGTTGTGGTTCCATGTAAGTTTTAGGATTATTTGCTCTATTTCTGTGAAAAGATGCCAGTGGTATTTTGATAGGGATTGCATTGAATCTTTGGCTTACTTTGGGCAGTACAGACATTTAAAGATGTTAATTCTTCCTGTCCATGAGCATGGTATAGCTCTCCATTTATATCTTCTTCAATGTCTTTTCTTTTCTTTTTTTTATCCTCACTAGAGGACATTCTTTCATTTTTTGTTCAGGTAGAGTGGGAGGGAGAGAGGGAGGGAGGGAGGGAGAGAGAGAGAGAGAGAGAGAGAGAGAGAGAGAGAGAAAAATATCGATGCAAAAGGTACACATCGAGTGGCCACCACCTTCACGACCCAACCAGAGCCAGGGCCAAACTGCAACCAAGATACGTGCCCCTAGCGGTAACTGAACCCAGGTCTCTCTGGACCGCAGGCCGATGCTCTAACCGCTGAGCCAAACCGGCCAGAGCATAGTTTTCTGAGTCTTTTACCTCTGTGGCTAAATTTATTCTTAGGTATTTTATTCTTTTTGATGTAACTGTAAATGGGACTATTTTCTTAATTTCTCTTTCTTATAGTCTGTTACTGGAATATAAAACTACAATCAATTTCTAAATATTAATTTTGCATCCTGCTACTTTATTAAATTCATTTATTAGTTCTAACAGTTTTTCTTTTTCTCCTCTGACTGCTGTGGCTAAGACTTCCAATACTCTGTTGAATAAAAGTGATGAAAGCAGACATCTTAACTTGGTTTCTGATTATAAAGAAAATCTCTCAGGTTTTCACTGTTGAGAACAATGTTAGCTGTGGGTGGGACATATACCGCCCTTATTATGTTGAGATATGTTCCCTCTATTCCTACTTTGATGAGAGTTTTCCATAAAAAGTAGATGTTGGACTTTGTCAAATGTTGTGTTCTGTATCTATTGATATCATGATTCTTATTCATTTTTTTAAAATGTGGCTTATCCCATTAATTGATTTTCAGATATTGTACCAATGTTGCATCGCAGGCATAAATCCCACTTGATCATGGTGTATGACCTTTTTAGTGTATTGCTGGGTCTGGTTTGCTAGTATTTTGTTGAGGATTTTTGTATCTATGTTCATCAGGGATATTGTGCTACATTTTCTTTTTTTGTAGTATCTGTCTGGTTTTGATATGAGGGAAATGCTGGGCTCATAAAATGACATTCGGATCCTTCCATCCTGTTCAAGTGTTTGACATTGTTTAGGAGGATAGGTAGTAATAATTCTTTGAATGTTGGTAAAATTCACCTGCGAAGCCATCTATCTGGTACAGGGCTTTTGTTTGTTGGGAGTATCTGATGACTGTTTTGATTTCATTAGTAATTATTGGTCTGTTCACACTTTCTGTTTCTTCCTGATTCAGCCTTGGAAGATTGTATGTTTCTAGAAATTGATCCTTTTCTTCCAGGTTGTCCAGTTTATTGGCATTTAATTTTTCATAGTATTTCCTGATAATCCTTTATTTCTGTGATGCGGGTTGTCTCCCTTCTTTGAGTTCTATGTGCACTTGAGAAAAATAAGTCCATCTGGTCTAATGTGTCATTTAAGGCCACTGTTTCCTTGCTGGTTTTCTGTCTGAATGATCTATTCACTGATGTCAATAGGATGTTAAAGTTCCCGACTATGAGTGTACATTACTGTCAATCTCTTCCTTTATGTCTGTCATTATTTGCTTTACATGTTTAGGTACTCTTATTTTGGGTGCATAGATGTTTACACGAGTTATATCCTCTTGTTGGATTGACTCCTTTATTATTATGAAATGCCCTCCTTTGTCCCTCGTTATAGCTATTGCTTTAAAGTCTATTTGTCTGATATGAATATTGCTACCTCAGCTTTACTTTTGTTTCCATTTGCATGAATGTCTTTTCCCTCCCTTCACTTTCATTCTGTGCCTTTCGATCTGAAGTGACTTTCTGTAGGCAGTTTACGTGCAGGTCTTTTTATTTATCTAGTTAGCCCCCTATGTCTTTCTATTGGAGCAGTTAGGCCACTTACAGTCACAGTTAACTATTGATAGATCTGTAATTATTGCCATTTTACTAACTGTTTTATGATTGTTTCTATTGTTTTTCTCTGTTCTTATTCTCTACTCGTATATGTTGATGACTCAGTTTCATGTTTGGACTCCTTTTTCTTTATTTCTTGTATATCTCTTACAGATTGATTCAGGCTCAAAGAAGCTTACAGAAAGAATATGAAGTTCTAATTAAAGAAGAGAATTCCAATAATAAGGTTTGGGTTTAGATTTATAAGATTGCAATGTAATCATGAAATTTCTCTACCTATGATAAAGCAAAAAATTTCTAAGATGGCATTTTAATAATGATGGCTGGTAGTTTATAAACACTATTAACTTAAGGATGACTATAAAAAGCAAGTGCAAAACTTAAATGTTGCAGTTGATTTCAAGCACACTTGATAAACAGATTTTAAGTACTGAAATTTTCTAGTTGTATAATCACCTCAAATCTCTATATAAGAAACTGTGACATGTTCAATTTGAGATATCAAAAGGCATTTAAAATAAACACCACAAAATGCATCTGTAGTTTCAAGGTCAAGTTTATTAGGAGAGTAAGAGATGTATTATACATGGACTATAAATACTGTGCAGCTGACTCTAATCACAGTCAAGCACAGAGACACAGTCAGTGCCGATCTATTTTGTGGACACCCTTGTTCTTTTGTTCCAAGAAAAGTTTGCGCCATAAGACTTGGACTTGGGTTTCGGAACCTTCCTCTCTTCAACGTCATAGCTCCATCCTAGAAAACAAAAACAGACTCACAGGAACAGAATTCAACAGTATACCTGAAGTACACAGTGAGCAGAAGCTAATGTTCATAAATTTAACGTTCATTTATCATCAGGAGTACATGTCAACACATCTGAAATATAAATACTTACTTAGTAATTTGTTCCCTTATAATCCTGTGACAAGAGGATTCAAAATATTGTCTGAGGATGATTTACCATCCCTTAAATTAAAGGTATAACTCATAACTCGATTTTTCCTTGCTCAATAGTCGTCGTTCAATTACTGATGGTTATGTCTCACATACAATCCCCACCCCTGTGTGGTTTAGTACGCAGAGTCTTCGGCAACTGCACGGAGGAGCACATACAATCCCCACCCGTGTGGCTTAGTACGCAGCGTCTTCGGCAGCTGCACGGAGGAGCACATACAATCCCCACCCCGGCGTGGTTTAGTACGCAGCGTCTTCGGCAGCTGCACGGAGGAGCACATACAATCCCCACCCGTGTGGCTTAGTACGCAGCGTCTTCGGCAACTGCACCGAGGAGCACTGCGCGATGTGACCGGGCTCCCTGTTTTCTAGAGGAAGGTGCTTCCAGCAGTTTGGAGCTCACTCAAGGTGATGCAGAAAAACATGCAGAGACCTTTCTGTAGAAATCACAGGGCTGGAATAGACCATGAAGGGTACTTGGTGCAATCCCCTGGGCTTTGATGAGCTAGTGATTAAACTAAAAATGTTTCCTAACATTTGTTTCAAGGGCTACCTAGTGAGAACCCCACAGAAGCACTTGATAATGCACATTCTTAGGCCTGACCAGGCCGGTTGGATTAGAAACTGGTGGAGTCTGGGACTCCGCACTTACGGACCCCAGGAGATTTTTATGCACAGAACCTGAGATCCACTGGTCCAAACTTCTCTTCTGGGAGAGGCCCTTTGCAGTGTTTTATAATTTTGAGAACTAGATTATTTACGTCTGTGTCTTCTGCTTTAAGCCCTGTTTTTCAGTTTTCTTAAGACATGGAGGACCGTATCAGTACTTTCCTCCTTGAAATGATTCGGTGACTCCTCTATCCCTAGTCCCAGCAGTCTCTATGGCTTCCACCTTTCTGCATAAGGTCCACTTCTATCCCTGCAGTTCATCCTTCTTCTCGGAACGTGCTTCAGTGATTCATCTTGAAACAGCTGATTCATGGCTGAATCATGCAATCGTGAATAAAATGTCCAAAGTGAATATGATGTTGTCTAACTAAACAAGTGTCTCGATCCTGTGACCTGTGACCTGTCATGAGTTCTAGGGCTTCATGGTGAGTCTAGTGTTTGCTGCCACAAAGCTTACGTTTCAATAGCCCCTCAGAATTCAATTTTGACACAAAGGTGAAGCCTATGAAACTCAAGTCATCCAAGAACACTGCTACTATTGCCTATTTCAGTGTCCAAAGGGGGAAATAATTAATAATTCCACTGCTAGAACTCCTCTTCATTTGCTAGAAGGATACAAATAAGCAGGCAAGCAAATGAATCAAATTACTTAAAAATACAAATTAAACATCAGAATCTGGGAGAGAAAACACTGATTTAATTCACCTGGTTAACATAACCTCACCTTCAGAGTAGAGAAAATGTCGAGCACTTTCCTACCCATTAAAGCGAACAGACGAACAGACAAAATCACAAAGCTCTCTTACTTGAGGAGGACCTCGGCCGCGTGAGCACACGGACAAGCGGCAGTGCGACCTCAGACATTCCCCAGAGGGCGCCGCGGAGCTCCTGCCCCGCAGGCTGCGTGAGGACGGAGGAGGGGGCCGCGCCAGGGCTGCAGAGCACGGCGCTCAGCCACTCACGGCGCCCCGAGAAGGTGCTCCGGGAACCTCTGTCGAGGGGATGCGCTTCCTCTACACACAGAGGAGCCTGAGGCACAGCAGCCAGGCTGGCAGCACGAGGCCGCGCAGGAGGAAGGGGCGAATCGAGACCTTTGCCTCGACCTTGCCGCCTCCTACGGTGCACAGTGAGCACTAGGTAAATGTTCGCTATTATTTCTCCTTCACATTTGATTCTACCTTCCTGACAACACATCTTCTACATGAAGTATCAGTGTACATAAAATTTAGATGACACCGGAACCCATTCATTTTGAATCTGTAATGCTTTGGCTCTTGCTAGGTGCAATTTGACGCAGTTATTAACTATAGAAAGGAGTTTGGTAAGCAAACTAATACTGTGAACTGAGCACGATATCTTCACTTGAACATTGTGAACTTCTTAGATAGTTCATTAGTCAACAAATGATGCTGGTAATTATAAAACAATACTCAATTCAATAAAGCAGGTAAACAATAACAATATTTAACGAGCATTTACTATTCATTTACTAACTTGTATTGATGGCCCAGTCTGTCAGGGACTATGCAGACAACAGAGGTAAAGCAGTGAATAAAACAAAAATATCCCCAAACTCCAAATGAGCAGGGGAAGAGGAATTAGTAAGTGAACGTGGACTGTAGTGGATGCTAGTATAGTAATACCCAGGGTTAAAAACACGCAGTCCTGCGGATGTGCCGAGGAGGAGACGTTCCGGGGCGGCAGGAAGCCTTCCCTCCCGGGTCACGTCTGAGGGGGTCTGGAGGGCGGGAGTGATCACAGGGCTGCCCGGGCAGGAGCCGGCCCGCAGACCCGCAGTGAAGCGCAGAGGCCACGGGTGGGGAGGCCCGCCGCGCCGGCCGGTGTGCTCTGTGCTGTGCTCAGTGCTTGGGGGGCATTTTTATTGAGTTCCAAAACTGAGTTCATAGGTTGCTTGGCTTATGAGATAGGCATTACATATACCCCGATTTTATATTTAGTTATGAAGGAAAATAAAGCACAGAGAAGATAAACAAGCAGTATGAAGCCACCTGGCTAATAAGGGGCAAAGCCAGGATTTCAACCCAGGTTGACTTGAAAGCTGTGACCGTGACCACCTCATAAATAAAACTGCACTCCTATAAAAACATCCTGTAATTGTGATTTTTATCTATTCCACCCTTTTCTTTCTGTTGGTGTGATTCCATAACCTTTTCCCTGTAGCTCTGTGAATGTGTGCAAGGCTGTCTTAACGGTCCCTGGACAGTGAGCCTACGCCCCACAGGCTGCACACCAGGTGTGCCGAAGGAAGTGGTTCTAGGTTCCATGTCTGGTGGTACGTTGCCCAAGGCCTCCCTGAACTTTTCTCACCAAAGGATGGGTGACAGAAGCTGCTGCCTCCCAGTCGCCTCCTAACACACCTTCTCCAGCCCAGTGAAGACGTCACAAGAGGAGGTGAAGAAATGAGAGTACTTGGGAATATTCGGGACCTGGTACATATGCAAACACATACCCGATAATCACTTTCTCACGTACATGGCTAATCTGGAGAAAGGGTTTTAACTGAATGAGAGTGTGGACATGGCTCTGTTCAGGAATCTGAGCTGTCGGGGTCACTGCTGTGAGACCGGTTGGTACATGCAGAGTGACTGGCCGGGGTTTTCTCCTGGTGACTAAGGAGTGTGCTGGCCCTTGGGAACGGCGCCCAGATTACAGTTGCTGTTGATGGTGATAACAACAATAAACAGAAGTGTCATTTTGGGCACTGGAATGTGACGGGCAGGGCACCCTGTGAAAACAAACACAGGCACACCTGGTGGAAACCTGCCTTTGCTGATAGCACCCTCTCCCCCTCACCCCTCTCCCCCTCACCTCTCTCCCCCTCACACTCTCGACAGCTGCTCCTGTGGACAACAGCTGTGCTCCCAGAGCCGCACAGCCTCTGGTCCAGTGAAAGCAGAGGAGGGTATGAGGGAGGCGTCTGATGACAACTCACAGCAGAGATAAACTCAAGTCACAGTCTGCATGTGTCTCCCTGCGGGTTTGCGAGCCATCACTCAGAAAACGTTTCTACCACGCAGGGCTGCTGTGATCATAAAATCTGCTCTTTTATGAAACACCGTCAAGAATGCGAGCCATCCCCGCACCCCTGCCCGCAGCCCCGCCCCACTCCAGAGCACCGTCGCCGCAGACCACGTGGCACCCGGCTCCCGCTGACAGGACCCAGCTACAGGGGCAGCAGCACGGACAGGGCAGCAGCTTCTGCACCAACCGGTGCAGGGCGGACCCTGCACTTGCCTGTTCCACATCCCATCCCGTCTGAAGCTTGTTCTTACAAAGAAAGAACACAATATAACTTTCAAGAAATACCACACAGCCCTGGTCCTTTGGCTCAGCAGTTGGAGCGCCGGCTTGCGGACCAGAGAGTCCCAGGTTTGGTTCCCGCCAAGGGGATGTACCAAAAAAAAAAAAAAATACCATGCAGAAATTTAAGAATGGAACCTCTGTAAAATGTTTAAATTTCTGTGGGAATTTTTTTCTACCCTAAAATAAGGGTTTAAAAATAAAAAAGAAATAACTCAAACTCAGTTTTCTGAATGGGCTCACAGACATGAGAACATTTGCAGTCTCTGAAGAGCGCTTCTGTAAAACCAAGCTGTGGTCCCGGCCAGGTCCCAGTGCTGCTCTGCTGGACCCTGAGCACTAGCCCTGCTCTCCGCATGCTGCTGGCTGGACGGAGCTCCCGAGAGGCACCCCCCCCCCCCCCCGCCCGGAAGCAGCCAGACGCCGGTGCACCTGCCCCACCTCTGGAATGCTGTCACCAAGATGCTCCGAGCTGTATGCCTCCTTATCAGAGACACTTCTGGCAAAAGCTCTGGTAATCTCAGAATGTGACCTGTAATATCCTGTACTGGATTTTCCCCGGACCATGTATCTTGTGGATCCTCCAGACTGGTTGGGACCTTGTACTTCCTACGACAGAGATGTTCCGTGTATTCTTTTCAATTGCTAACAAAAACAAAGCAACAACAAAAAACCTCTGCACAAACCAGACCACAACAATTCACTTGTGAATTCCATGTATGAGATGGAAAAAGAAAACCAACTCCACTCATTTTTACGCCCAGACCACTTTATATTTGGTTCAGTAATACAGAAGCAGAGGACATGCG